GTTTCCTTAAAGGGAGACAGACCATTTGCAATCTGATCCTCACTCATCCTTTCAGTCTCATTTCTTAACACCTCCCACACCTGTTTTTTGCTCTGCACATTCCTGAGAAGGTTATGGGAAGGATTTATCAATATCCATACCTTTAGCTGCTGACCAAATAGCTCAGCGGATTAAAGCCCCTGCAAGCAGGCGCAGGGGTGGGGTTGGGGGTGGGGGTGCGCTGAGACTACGATTGAAACTGGGTGTTGTGGCGTGTGCCTGTAATCCTAGCTCTTGGGAGGCTGTAAACAGGCAAATTACTGAGTCTGATCTAGTAGTGAGACCCTGAACACTCTGTAGACCCTTCCCTAAAACACACATACACACACACACACACACACACACACACACACAAATCCATACCGTGTGGTAGCCATTTCCAGATATTTTATGGCTGTTCAATAATCTCTCTTGTTTGAATGCCCTCTTGCTTGAGTCGTCATTTCTTTTCCTGGTGGAATGCTGTGTTTCTGTGTGCCGATGCTCATTGCCTTGTCTATTTGTATTTTCCATCAGACAGTGGTATCTTGGAGGACAGAGATCATCTTCTTCTGTGTGGCCTCCAGCACTCAGTGTAGTGCTTAGCACAGAGTAGCCCTGCAGTCAGCATGTTGCAGATGACGGAAGGAAGCAAAGTTAAATGTAATCCAAGTGGCTAGTGGTGATGATTCCGTGAGGCTTTTGTGGCTCTGGGAAAGTTAATGTCTTTTTCATTTGTAAAGGGTAGTTTCACTGGATTCTTGGTTTGTAATTTTTTCCTTTTAGCATGTTGAGTGTAACAACCCACTGAAAACTTTACAGAAGCTCCCTCGTATATGGTGAGCTGCTTTTCTTTCGCTACTTCCGTAATCTCTGTTACCTGTAACAATTTGATTATAGTGTTTTGGTGTGGAGCTTTTTGGATATATCATCCCTGGAATTTGTTGGGCTTTTTTTTTTTTTAATTTAATTTTGAAGGGTAAAATCAAAAGCAAAAACAAATATCAGAAACAAAGACAGAAACAGGGTAGCATACAATACATATGTTACAGATTTTCAAAACAAGAATAGCTAATGATTTATTTAAATTACTCTGAATTTAGTAAGAAAAGAGTACTACTATATTATAGGAAGGTTATTTATTTTTTTCCCATAATTTTATTGATAAACAAATAGCAATGAGACAGTTGCAAATCAAATCGGTAGGACAGTTTCAATAATTAACACACTGCATACATTCTTCGTAGTGGTTAATTGCTGTAGAAGATGCGGACTTGATATCATATTTACAAACACCACTAGAACAAATCATTCTATTCATTAAGAGACTCTAACTATATATCTATCCAAAGCACTTTGAATACACAGATACAATCGTCTGTATACTCTTTTTTTGTTAAGTTCTGTTATTTGAATATTATACGTGTGTAAACTCAGCAAAATATTCTAAAAGAGTCCAGTAGCCCATAATAGTATGGGGTCTTCTGCTTGACTGGCAATGTTTTTTGGGCTTTTAAAGTTGTATGCTCATTTTCTTTTTGAAATTTAGGAAATTTGGGCCCTTATTTCTTTTGGTATAGGCTTTCAGTCCCACGCTCGTTGATTTCTCCTTCTCACCCCATAATGTATACATTTATCCACTGCCATTAGATGTATATACAGTGGGCCATACATTGCTGATATTTCCTAAATCCCTAGGTTCTTGTCACTTTTCTTCATTCTTTTTTCCTTTTGCTCCTCTGACTCAATAATTTCAAATGACCTGTCTTTAAGCTGGCTGATTTCTTTTTTCTGCTTCCTCAAGTCTGCTGGTGAGACCCTTAGAGAGCTTTTCAGTTCTTGAATTCCTTACCTCTTGAATTTTTCTTTAAATCTTTCTCTTTGTTGGTATTCTAATTTTGTTCATGTGTCATTTTCCTAATTAGATTTAACTGCTTATTTGTATTGTCTTTTAGTGCAATGAGCATTCCTTAAAGTGATTACTCAAATTATTTGTGAGCAAATTCTTAGCTCTCTGTTCCTTTAGGATCAGTTTCTAGACTCTAGAATCTAGAGCCTGTCTGGTTCATTGATTAGGTCCTGTTTCCTTGCTTCCCTGTATACTTTATGATATTTTGTTGAGATTTGCTCATATCAGAAAATAGCCACATCTCCCAGATGTCCTAGATTGACTTTGTACAAGAGAGTCTAGGGTCTGCCTCTACCTTTTGAAAGAATGAATTTTTTCTGGATTTGTGTATATAATTTCCCAGCTACAGCGACCTGCCCCTATTACCAAGAGCCCACAATTGCTGCTCCGTTGGGATCTGTCTGTGGTACTGCAGCCTTTAAAGTGCTATCACAGGTGGCCATGTTTGTTTTTGTTTTCCATGGCCACCCGGCATCCAAAGTGTGCTACTGTTCCTGCCAGTCCCTGACTGATCGCTTTGGGTGTTGGACACATGTCTGGCTCTTCCCTTTTCCTCTAGAGGCAGAAACCAAGGGTTGGCAGCTTTATCCTGATTGTGCTTATGCTGGGTGGGAGGGGGCTGTTGGATGAGTGCGGTCAACTTTCTTGTCTGCATTAGTGTGGCTCTTGGCTTTACACTCAGGTGGTGTGCAGCTACCTCTTGAGTAGTCTCTGGAATTCTCACAGAATCAATTTCATTCATATATTATCATTCAATCAGTGTCTCTAGGGAGAATAAGGGCTTGGGGTTTCCTACAGAGCCATCATGTCATTCTCGCATTTAGCCCATAATTCTTTTATGAGATTGTATTGGTAGAACTTTGATAATTAAAATCAGTAGAGATGGCAGCAGATCTGTTCTCTTTCCCCTGGCCCCTCCAGTTGAAGGTTAAAGAAGGCCTTCTAGACTTTTGGCTTTGTACTCTGACTTTTTCTGTCTCTCTTTAGTACCTGTGGCTAACTTTTAGTAAGAGCTTATATTTGTCAGTCACTCTTCAGATCCTTGTGATATATACTAGTTCTCTCGAGATTTTTTTTGTGGAGGGGTACATGGAATCGAACTTAGGACCTTGCTCTTACCAGGCAGATGCTTATGACCCTGAGCTATATCCCCAACCCTAGTTTTCTTGTCTAATGGCTGTACAACAAAGGTACTATAATTGTGCTCATTTCACCTGTGAGAAAACTGAGTTACACTCAGTAGTGTCCCAGATTTTCTGGTGAAGATTATGGGGCCAAAGAGGAAGGTGATCGATGATGTAGAGTGTGCCTAAGGAGAGTCACATGGAGAGAAAACACTCTCTCAGGATTTCATAGAGAGCACATTGGCCATGCAATGGCCGTGACTCATCCGCATGGCTGACACTGAGAAAGGACCTACAATCTGAGGTGTAGGATCTCAGGATAAATCCTGAGC